ATCTGAGATATGTTCCTAGTGCTTCGAAGTAGCGGAAGCTGTTGTGGTAGGAAAACCGGAGAAAGTCATATAGACCGATTTCTCTACTACCAATGATATCAAAACTTTTTGAAAAATTGTAGTTAATAAGGCAGATGCCTTTAATCAAAATTAAGAAATTGTTTCCAAATCATCAGTTTGCAGTACACAGAATACACAGAATAACAAATGTTATGCAAAACGTGTTAGAGGAAAGGCAAATATGTTCGACAATATTTCTGGGAGTGGGCCGGGCGTTCGATAAAGTTTGACACGATGGTTTATTATTTAAACTTAAGAAATTGATACCTTTGCAATTCGTGGAGTTACTTGAATCATATTTATCTGACAGGCTTTTCCGAATCCAACGGGACGACTAGTACTCTACGCTTGGAGAAATTAGGGCAGGTGTATCAAAAGAGAGTATTCTTGGTCCAATATTAAACATGCTTTACATAACCGATACAGCAATATTGGCCGTGTTATCAAGTTTTGAAAAATCGCAAAAAAAATTACAGGAAGCAAGTAACAATATAAGTAAATGGACAAGGAAAATAAACCTAACTGAAAGTAAATCTGTAAATGGGAATTTCACAAACAAAAGCTTGGTGAACTCACCCCAATTGAGTTTGAATGATGTTAAAGTATTCAATCAAACGAAGCGAAATACCTGTTTATGACGGATGTCAAGTTGAGGTGGAAAGAACATGCAAAAAAGAAAAAATTAGAATTAGAAAACAAATAAAGAGAAAATTATAGCTATGGCTCCTAGGTTGTAGGTGTGGATTGTCAACGTACAATATCAACGTAGGTGTTGATATATAATCAATGATTTAAAATTTTTATTAGATTTTAAAGTTTTTAAAATCTTTGGTTTAACTTTTATTGTCTTTCATTTTAATTGTCCAATTTAATTAAAACTAATTTATAAAAATTATAGTACATTTAATTGCTAAAATTAATAAAAATAAATTTCAAAAAAATTACAATAATAAATTAAAAAATAAAAACATTCAAAAAATCAGTAATTTTTACGCGTCAAAAAAAACGCTCATTAAAAAAGTGATTATTTTTTTTTTTCAAATTATTTTCATTTATTCTTAGTTTTTTCTTCTCTGGATTTATAGACTGCACTCAGCCTCCTTGCGATAGATTCTACCAGTTTTTTGGTAAACTCGGAAGTAATTTTTGTCCGTTTGTCCAGATAGTTTTATAAATGTTCAATTGGGTTTTGGTCTGGCTACTGGAGAGGATGTAGTAATTGCTTTGGTGTTGATTTTCTTTGTGGTTTTATACTAGTCAATAATTGTTGTTACGCCTTGTGATTTACCTGCTTTATTAAGATTAATAATAATTTCTCTCGTTTCCACAGTCGTTTGCTTTCCCATATTTAAATTATATTTTAAAGTCTTTTGAAAGCAATTTTTGTTTTATTCAAAAACGAAAAAATAATCCCAACTATGGAGAAAAAATGACATTATGCCTTCAATTAAACATGGACAAATCATTAAATAAATATTTTACCGGAATTTCCGAAATTATTCCAGAAAACAAGATGAATATGCGTAGTATGTACCCAAGCTAAGCGGTTTGTTTTGACGCGCAAAAATAGAAGAATTTTTAAATTTATTTTTTTTGTTTTGTTATTGCTACTTTGTTTTGATGAATTTTGTTATTGCTACAAACATGTTTTGATGAATTTTTTTGGTTATTGAATGTGCTTTATTTTTTATAAATTAGTTTGTAAATTGGACAATTAAAACAGAATATTTTTAAAGCTAAACAAGATAATTTTTAGTGAGCGTTATTTTTTGACACTTACAGCAAGAGACGGATCTCTCATATGTATAATTATGTAAAGTATGCATTTGCAATGAGCGATGAAAAACAGGGTGCACCCCTTAAAAAAACCCTTAATTTAAAAATTAAACTTTTTTAATTTTTCCTAATATAGAGTTTTCTAAAAAATTTTTTTATATCAATTTAAAGTAAAATTAACTTGATAAAATATGATACCTACATGCAAACATAATATTTTATTTATGATGAATGTGCATGAAAAAAAGAGGCATGAAATGTCAAAAATTTCAATCGGTCGAATCGATTTGGACTTCATTTTTTCTTTGAAATTTTGGTGAACGGTACCAAAATATTTGGTAGAATTCTGAAGATCCAGCTATTCCTACTACATATAAAGAATTTCATGACATCAGCTGACTGTTGCTACATTGAGTAAAGAAGTAGCATCACTAAAATGCATTTCGCTTCTCGCTATCCAAATCAGGGCTTACGTTTTACAATTTCACCAAGTTACCGTTACTTCAATAATGCTTTATAAAAAGCTTAAGTGCGATATTAATACGATTGTACTACCGTCTTAAAGCTTTCTATACCTTTACATTGTGAAAAAAACAGCTACAGCTTTGATACATTTTGAAATAATTTTTACAATATTAATACATACCTGGTTGAAAATTTCAATTTAAAGTTCTGTGCAAATATTAATTTTTAATAACGTTTTACTATCTGCATTTTAGGAAAAAAACTTAATAACTAGAACTTTGTTGCCGAAAATATATGCTAGTTTATTTAGCTGATTATTTCTGGTAACGTTTATATGAAATGTATTAGAAAAGCTTGCTGAATTTTTTCGATACCCGATTTACTTTTATTTTGCGTATCCACAACGTACAGGTGTAGGAAAAGTGTACAATGTCAAGAGCTTCTACTAAAGTTTTTGGAAACTTTGTAAAGCTTACGTTGTAAAGCTGGATTCAATGGTTCGTCAGTTGAACGACGAGCTGATGTACCGTGACTTCAATAATGCTGTAAAAAAAATTAAGTACGGTATTAATACGGTTGTAGTACCGTCTCAGAGCTTTCAATACTTTTAGATTGTGAAAAAAAACTACTAAAGCTTTTCGTACATTTTGGAATACAATTTTTGCAATATTATTACATACCGCAACTTCAATAATGCGCTTACGACGTAAATTTTACAAAGTATCAAATCCCAAAAAGTTTAATAAAAGCTCTTGACATTGTACACTGTTTCTAAACTCGTTTTATACGTAGCGGAGACGTAAAATTAAAGTAAATCGGGTATGGAAAAAATCGAGCACGTTTTTCTTATACCTTAGGTCAGAAATAACCAATAAAATAATCTAGCATATATTTTCAGCAATTGAAAGCTCTGAGACGGTACTACAACCGTATTAATACCGTATTTAAATCTTTTTTACAGCATTATTGAAGTCACGAATACTTTGACGTTTGTTTGAAAAGTTCAATTTAAAGTTCTGTGTAAATGCTAATTTTTAACAAATATTACCAAGTCATTAAAAACTTAGCATTTTAGGAAAAAACTTGATAACTAACACTTTATTGCTGAAAATAAATGCTAATTATTTAATTGATTATTTATGGCAACATTTAAATTGCAAGCTATAAGGAAAGCGTGCTCGATTTTTTCGATACTCGATTTACTTTTATTTTACGTTTTCACTACATATAAAACGCATTTAGAAAAGTGTACAATGTCAAAAGCTTTTACTAAACTTTTTGGAATTTCATACTTTGTAAAATTTACGTCGTAAGCGCGTTATTGAAGTCATTCTCCTTATTTTTAGTATAGCTTTTTTTTGCTCTTTCAAAAAGTTGAACCTACTTCAACTTTACTGCAGTGGTTTTTTTAAAACGTCAAATTTACGTATTATTCTTGTCAAAAAGTAATAAATGCTTCATAACAAAAAAAAAAAAAGATCAGCCTTTTTCAGAGAAACCAATGAACAATCAAGAGAAAAAATAGTTCAACTATAAATAGCTCAGCTCAAAAACGACGAACCAGTAAATCCAGCTTAAACGCATTATTGAAGTCAGGGTAGTAAGATTTAACAAAAAAAACGGAACTTTCAATCCTACAAGATATTGTAATACTATATAATACCATATGATTCTATGTTAATTAATATTCTATTCTCTTACCCAGCATTTACACATACAAGTTACTTGCAAGCAAGTTTGTATAATATTAATTGTCAATTAGTTTTTCGAAATGTCAGATTACTTGCTATTATGACGTAGGCGTTTAGCAAGTTAATATTTGAAAATGTCTTTGAGAAGAAAACAACTAGCAATATATATAATTGTTTATAAATTTTAGAAACCATAAGTTTGCTAAGTTTAATTTTTTCAAAACAAAATTCAAAAATTTTAAATTAAAAAAAAAAAAAAAATCAAAACAACAAATTTTTTTTTGTGAATTACTCAATATGTCAAATTACTTGCTCAAATTACTGGCAGCAAAATTTTCTTGCAAGTTGAACTGCAAGTAAACAAGCAAGTAGAAATATTTCAATGTGTTAGTAAAATTTTTGTATGTATTGCAACTTTCTTGCAAGTAACTTGTACGTGTAAATGCTGGGTTACTTAACTACACATCTTAATTCATTGCAAGATTTATTATTAAGGATATCAATCTAACTCCTCTTACATTTATCTAAAGGCACACATGATATATATGTACATCTATCTGAAAACAACATGCAATCAATTAAACTTAGAAACTGTATGACGAAACACGCTTCGATTTCACGTGCCTATTCTTAAAAAAGATATCACTACAAAACAAGAAATTATTTCAAAAATCAAAATATTTTGATTTTTTTTCTGAAACGGATGAAGATAAGGAAACTTTGGTTTCCTTATCTTTGGCTTTAGACTTGTCTAAGTAATATATCTTAATGCATTTTCGTATGGAGTTGTCATTTTTGTGTTGTGGATCTAATTCTCTTTACACAGGATTATAGAACAATAATTGAATAGCGCAGAGAATTATTTATGTTCTTAAATCAAAGTAATTTATATCACTAAAAAAGCAAAAAAAACCTAATGAGTTAAAAAGCAACCCAGTAAATACACTCACTATAAAAAAGGAGCTTTTTGTATCAATAATTTACAAATCGAAGCTTTTTAACGAGTAGTGGGTCATTGAAGCTCTCGTGAACAAAAGGGAGCAGCAAGCTCCGTTCGAAGTCTATTTTTCTAAACGACAGTTCTGTCTAAATCGAATACCAATTTGGAAAATTATATGGCAGAAGTGAAATGTGTACATTTTAATTTGAGTCGAGTCAGCTTATTTATTACAAAAGAATGAAACATTATTATTGGTCGTAAGGTGATCAATATAATTTCGCCATGGCAGCATTACCACCAAGGAAAAATGCCACTCCTACAAGATTATCAAAGAAAAGTGTTAGTCCCCTTCAAACTTTATTGCAAATGGGTTTCTCGAAACACCGGGCGTAAGTAATAGAAGTATTTGCGTATGTATGTATGTAGTCATAAGCTAATTTGCCAAAAAAAATAAATTCGTCGACAAAATTATAATGCAATAATTTTTGTTATTTAAAAAAGAAATAGGTCAATGATTTCTGTTATTATGAGACTTAAAGTTTATAAATGTTATGCTATACGTACGTACATACATATATACATGCATATTGTGTTATCAATAATTTTACCTAAGGTTTTTATTTTCAGGGAAAAAGCATTAGCTTCGACTGGAAATAGAAGCGTGCAACTAGCTTCGGATTGGCTTTTAGCACATGTAATAGTATATTTAAATCTTAAAAAAATGTAAAATGCAAAATTTTCAAACTGTAGGTTGGTGATCAAACTTTAGATGAATGCAGTCCGCGAGAATATATTCTCTATGCTTGTCCATCAGGTCCTCTAGGAAAAGTGTAAGTTTATGTTACTTTGTGAATTTCATTGATTAGGAAGTTTATTTTATGTTTCTGTATGGTCTAGATTAACTTTTCGAATTTCTAAACATTATTTTCAAATAGTTTTCAAATAGCCCGAAATTTCAGATTGCACTTTTATAAATAATCCAAAACTTTATTAATATTTGTATTTTATCTTTTAAAATGCGGAATGATCAGTTTAGAAGAGTTTTGGGCAAAATCAAAGGAGTTGTGTGGGTGGAATGGTGCACATAATTTTGTTCCTCATATAACTCTAGTTTCATTTTTTAAGGTTATTGAAGATCGTCTTACATTGAGTAAATTGAAATTATTGATATTTTTCAGGCTCCAGATGAATGTGCCCCTTATTTAAGCAAATCGCTGAAAACTGTTGTTGACATGGTTGGAGCTGTAATGGAAAATCCAATTAAGTTGGAGTTATATACGAGTCAAAATTTTATGGGGTTTTTTGTAGAAGAAAGTGATGCAAACTTTCTTAAAAGGCTCGCCCTACAGTACGTGAAGGAAGTTTCCAATTCAAGTAAGCATATGCTTTTACAGAAAAAATTATATGTCTAGTGTTGATAAAATGTTGTGTAATCATATAGAACTCAAAACATACATAATTTGGAAGAACTTGTATTAAGATAAATAATATTGAAAATGGTTTATATTTTTTAATTTAGTAATAAATGACACATATGAACAATTAGACGCAATTGTTGCTTGTTTTCCATGGTGTGGTTCTATTTCAGGTTCTGGTAATCGGTGCATACCTCGTAGTAACCGATGTAAGAATGTAGACAAAACGATTAATTAATCATAAGCTTTACTTCAAATAATGGATTTGTTTTTCAAATACACTCGATTTTACTCAACGGTAATGCAAATAATTTGAGATTTCCCTAAAAAAGGAAATTTCAAAAAAATGTAATAAGTGTTTTTTATTTTTATATAACTAATAAATTGTAATTAATTATATATAAATCAATACCATAGAATAAGTTAAATTATAATAAATTAATTTGAAAAACAAAAAAGTTTATTAGAGTAACACTAGTATTCTTACTAATTAGATACATAATTAATTTAAATTTCAAAATTGAATTAAATTATGTTTCTAGCTATATCACTGGAGCCCCACGTGAAATCATTGCACATGACTTTGGCTTATCAATTTCAACAAAAGGATTTTGGTTTACTAAGGTCACTGGTTGAAAAGTTAGATCCTAATATCCAAGCAGGATGGGAATTGCGTTTATATTCTAGAGATTCAAGATTAGGAACTAAACAAGTAAAAACGATATTTTTTTTCATATTATTCCACATATGCAAAGTACATTTTAACTAATTTAAGGTACATGAAGTTTTGTATACTCATACTCCTTTAGAAAACGATGAACTTCAATTGAGGCTGGGCGATTATATTTATCTCAATACTGAAGCGGTTGAAAATTCGTCAGATGGTTGGGTTGAAGGTATATTACATAAAATTTGAAATATGTGATTTCATATCGGGTTTTTTTAGGTATTTCTTGGCTTACTGGTATGACTGGGTATTTACCAAGTAACTATACACAAAGGACAGCTGAATCAGATGTCTGGACTTTGCACAGAACTGTACCATTATATTCGATAACTCCGCCAATTCCTTCAATTTCTGAGGAACATGATAACGCAGATGGACCTATTAACCAAATCAATTCAGAAAAAAAAATTAATAACGGTACTTAACTTTAAGAATACTAAAAAATATTCCAATATAAGATTATCTGGGCGGTATTTATCTCAAGTTCTTACGCAACTTGATATTTATACTAATGCTAACAGGTAGTAACTTGATGACGGTTAGTTTAGTTTTAAAAATATCACTTGTCATTCTAAGCTGCATAAGATAGTAGCAAGAATATTTCTTATCATCTACTGGCATGTTATATTCCAGAGAAAATCGTTATTATTTAGTGCTCGATATCGATATCAAGTATTATTTTATTAAGAACCTAGTTCATTTACATAAAATACTCTGCGTTCTTTTTATTACCTTTTTATTTTGTGTTCTTTTTATTTCGTTTTGATTCTTTTATTTTACCTTTTTATGTTAACTATTAGAATACCAAATATGCATACATTGTATTATTTAATTAACACCACCTGTCAGTTTAAGTAGTCGACAAATTAGTAATCAAAAACAAACAAAAAGTATCCTATATTTCATATTAAATTAAAATAGTGTTATTAAACTAAGGTACAAACTTCCTTACATGTTACCTACGTAACATGTTATAATGAAAATTAATCTAGCATAATTTTTAAAACGCGAAAACTAAATACAAAATGCGTCAGTAATTGATTTCGCTCATTTGATTTCACTTTTTTCACGTAACTGCAGTCTTTCTTATTCAACATTTTTCGATATTTTATAAATTTCTTAATTTTTTTTTTAAAAAGCTATTAAAAGATCTTTAGTCCGCTGCAAAAGTTCGGCAATTATATTATTTTTTTTTTTTCTTTTGTTCTCAATTATTTTAAACCATATACATACACTACATGACTGTTGATTCTCTGCTTTCACGTTTTTTCAGGTTTAAATTTTACTTTTTCATTCCACGTTACTTCCTTAAATAAAAAATCACGACAAAAATACAATACCTCGTAAAGTCAACTCTACAGGTTGTTAATATTTCCATAAATTATGTTTATATTTTCCGCATTTCAAGCCAAAAAAATTTTTTGTGAATCAGATTAAGTTTCCTTAAATACATGTACCTTTAAATAGATGTAAATATTTATATTTTTTTGAACATTTGAATTTGATAGATGTAGTAATAGTATTCGTATTTATTCAAGTACTTGTGTGCATTTTTATTAGAAAAATATGAAATTACGTGTTTATTTTCATTTTTTGTTCCACAAAAAGGTGATTACAATTAAGCCTACGAGCCTATCTAGTAATTTAACTATCCTTTTAAAACGCTGGTGCGGAGTCGTTACCCAATGACAAGTTCTCCGAATGAAATGATGTTATAATCTTGAGTCATTTGGCTCTTTACCAAGTTTTAAGACCATTATAACTTCGGCAACTTTCCATTGTGGAGGTACGTAATTTAACCACAAACTCGCGTTGAAGAGATAGAGCAGATTTCTTAGTGCTATACTTGGCAATTTTTTCAATATTTTTGCTGTTATGAGGTCGTATCCTGGAGCTTTATTGTTTTTTCCCAATGATGAAATTATCTCCTAATTCTTTAAAAGTTTCTATATGGTCTTCATATTTTAGGTTGTGTCTAAGTGGGCAATATATTAATGCTATTTTGTACCATTTATTTTTTGATCTTACTCATCTGTTATGAAATTTGCATATAGTCTTTTTCTACTGGTACGATCATCAACTTTTATACTTTCTCTAATAATTACTGTCGAACCTCCTTTTGATTTATTGCTAGGATGAATCGCTGGGAATGTTAAATAACCTTTAATTTTGCTATACGATTGAGTGTTGGGGTGAGTTTCTGAAATTAAGCAAATATCTATGTTATTACAGTGTAGGAATAAATCTAATTTTTGTAAATGATTTATTCCATTCGCATTCCATGTTATAATTAAGTTATAACTCATTTTTTTTGTGCAATAATGCTTATTTTTTTTCTATTTCTTCTAATCTGTAATGTAGATTTGTTAAAATTTGATAAGACATAAAATGTTTTTTATTTTATTAATATTTTAAGATGCTCTAAAAATAACACAAGAAAAAAAATATGCTAAAGAAAATAATTTGCTTAGCTTTATACATGTAAAAAAATCTTTTTTAAAATATGTGTAATTGTTGTATTCGGTTGGTTTATTTGGTTTTTTGTTGTAAGATGGAAGTTTCAAGAATATTTTGTGAGAGTTTCAAGCTACAACTACAGCCAATCTATCGGTCTACGATGCCGCGTGCCTTCGAAATAGCATAAAATTGTTCTAATATGTTTATTTTTCAGGAAATATTAGCATCAAAATTGCCTCCATGTGTACAACCATTGATAAATAGAACCACATGAAAGGTAACCAATGTAAGATTTCTGGAATCTTAGTACTTCAAGCTTTAAGATTAAAAATTGGATATCGTTGTCAATTTTATCATTTTAGATGATAGAAAAGATGATTTTATTATTGCCTAATTAGAATAATAAAATGTGTAGGAATTTTGGTTCCGTTTTTTTTCAGCGAAATAGTATTCTTTACGAAAAGCATAAAAAATAAAGATTTTTTGTATAATTTTTATGGAAACGTTTAAATTTTTTTCCAACTTAGTGAAAAAAAATTTGATGCAATCAGCATATAACCGGAAGCAATGTATATTAACTAATTTAGTTAAAGCGTTACAGAAAATTCTGAAAATGCATTTTGAACCGTTTGCAATTCCCGAGGTCTGATATATCCCAAAAGTTGATCAATCCGTGCCACAGCCAAAATAAACTCATATAAAATTTTATCAAAATAGGTTCAGCCGAACTTGATACTTCGGAACCGCAATTGAGCCTCAGAGAAAATCTACCAAAAATATTACAATTATTCCTTTTAAAAATAATGGATTTCAATATATTAAAAATTTATTTTTTTCGCATAATAACGGTTAAAAATGTCAACTGTTACCTAGAGTGACTATTGTGATCATTAGTTATTAATAATTGAGAATTATAGCACCTAAAATTAAAAAGTAAAAATTTTTTTAATTAAACCTTTATAGTTTTAAAATTCAAATTGTTTTTTTTTTCCTTTATTCCCAGAATCCAGTAAGTTTAGTCTAGTATTAAACTCTAAATTTAGTCTAAATTAAACTTGGTTAAATAATTTAAATGTACTCTCAATTTTTCCCAATTTTCTAATCTTAGTATTAATTCAGTATTACACCGTATAAAATTACCTATTGAATATCATCACACACTATACACCAGATAAAGTTATCTATTGGATATCAACTAATTCAAGTTCACATGTATATACATATGTATTAACAAAAACAAAAATACACTTTTCTAATGAAATACCTACTATTTTTTTTAATAATATTATTGACAAAAAAATAACAAATATGCCAAAACATTGTTATTGTAATTTTAATTTTAGAGTTCTTTTGAATAACTAAAATTATAAAATTGGCACGTTATCCCATTTATAATCTTAAAATCTATGATTCTCTTTTGACAATTATTAATTTTATCGGAGGGTATTATTAATTTTTCCTAGTTTGTGCGTATATATGAGGAGTCCCCCGTTTCTAAGAGAAAAGAAGTCCCAAAAAAATATGAAATTTTACAATGCAATTCAATTTTTTCCATTACTTAGCTTTGAAGTAATAGAATCGAATTTGAAATTCTTAAAAAATTGTGAACACCGCGTTGTTATTAAAAAAGATTGTCTTTCACCCAGCTTTAATATTATTAATCACTGTGTAATAATTAAAAATTTTATTTTATTAAGTCAAATTCAATAAATATTTGAATTAACTGACTGCATATTCTTCAAATTCCAGAAAGTTTGAAAGCCTTGGCAATTCCTAATGAAAAATCGAGCTCAATTCAAAATTCGGATGATTCAGAAAAAAATTTTGGGGAAAAAAGCTTAAATAAATTAATAAAAAATTTGGACAGTTCATCTTTAAATGACGAAAGTTTCAGTATGTACGAAAAAACTTTAAAAAATTTGAATTTATCAAGTAGAAAAATTTATTTAATGCGTCATGGTGAACGTGTTGATTTTACATTTGGAACTTGGGTAATTGAATTTACAAAAAAAAATATTTGTTAAATCGAAATTGAAATTTTAGATACCTTATTGTTTCGATGAATTTAACAACTACATAAGGAAAGATCTCAATATGCCTAAATTTCTTCCAAAAAGGTAAACTTACTATTTAATTGATATTTCAAATTTTTTATTGAATTTTAATACTAAGGAAAAATTGTCCAGAAGGATGGCAAAATGATTCTCCTTTAACCAATATAGGTCTTTTCCAAGCCCAATTAATAGGTGAGGCGATGAGTGAAGCGGATGTCACAATAGATCACGTTTACTGTTCACCGTCCTACCGATGCGTACAAACTTGTTCCAGTGCTCTAGAAGGTTTTAAATATAAGCTAAATATCATAAAAAATTATTTTTTTCTTTACTTATGAATAGGAATGAAATTGAAAGAAAAATTACCTATTCATATCGAGCCAGGGTTTTTTGAATGGATGGCTTGGTATCCAGATGGAATTCCAGATTTCTGTTCAGCAGAAGAGCTAAACGAAGCCAATTATAATATAAATAGTAACTATAAATGTGTCATTGATGAGTCCGTTTTGGAATCTTGCCTAAAAGAAACTTCAGAAGATTTCTATTTACGGAATTACGAAGTTATGGAGAAAATAATTCAAAATACAAGTAAAAAATATATAAAATAACTATTAATGTCAATAAAGATTTTAACTTTAGCTGGAAACCTTTTTGTTGTTGCGCATGCTGCTACTTTAGAAACTTGCACGCGGCAGCTTGTTGGAAAAAATCCGCGGTCAACAAATGAATTAAGACAAATTATTCATAAAATTCCATACTGCAGTTTAATCTCTGTAGAAAGTTCAAACAGGGAATGGAAAATTGTTGAACCAGTCAGCTTGCCAGTTACACATTCAAAAAATCCGCGTTTTGAGTGGAACATTCTTGTAACAAGTTAAAAAATATATTATACAATTGCTGTTATGTATAATTAGTTTCAATAAATTATATTATTCAAAATGCCATTAAGAGCTGAAATTTATACGAAAAAAGAATAATTGAAACTCAAGCATAGCAAATTTTACAGTCGAAAAATTTTCATTTGTTTTAACGAAAACTAAACTTTTCGAGTTGCGAAAACTAAAGTAGAGTGAAAAAAATGGTATACTCGTGACAAGTGTCCGTCAATCTTTTCAAAGTTCAGATTTTATTTAAATAATTTCTTTATTTATAAGATTTTTATTCTAATGTTTCCCACTCATGTATAAGCATACCCTAACACAACATTATATACACTTACGTGCAAAAGTCAACATACGAATTTAATTTTATAATTCAAAGCAATGTTTTAAATTTATCAGGTTTTATTTATGAACATAAAAAATTAATAATTCTTCAAAAAAAAAAAATTCACTTCATTTGAGTGTACCACAAGTTGAGGTGGTGCAAAAGTTAACATACGGTATTAAAATAATATAATAAATAGCAATAAATATAAGTAGCGTAATATGATGTTGAGCCCCCTTTATTTCGAATAACTTTTTCAATCTACCCGGCATTGATTTGACCGATTTTTATAGTGTTCTAGTTCTATCTTAAAGTTTCTTTATTTATTACTTTGTTTTGCTGGACACATGCTCAATAGGCCCCAATGCATTTTTGATAAATATACAAAAGCACAAAAATAAGAATGAAGTGTACATAATTAATTTTCATAACTTCGACAACATTCAATTACAACATTTGAACTAAGAAAAATCGTATGCTAACTTTTGCACATATGATTATTGTACTTTTCGGGGGGATACCCTCATTTGTTTCTTGAAAATAAAAAAACATCTATGTAATTGTAATTTTGTTGATGTTTAAAGAAAAAATGTATGAATTAGAAAAAAATCCATGGGGATGATTAAATGGACTAAATTGAAGTAAATAAAACCCTATGTTGGCTTTTGCACGTAAGTGTACATACAATAAAATGTCTCGATAACGTCTGGAATAATGTTTTGCACGAGAAAAATTGTAAAACAAAAAGTGACGAAAACATTCTACATTGTCTTATAAAAAGACAAGACTTAATTGAATATAAAAAGTTTAAATTATAAAAAAATCTATTGTAAATTTCAGTTAAAAAAAATAATTGTAAATTTTTGAATTCATCAGACCTTTCCTATCATCCAAATGGAAAGGCCTGATGCATTCCATAACCATCCTATCATCCAGTCTAAACTACAGACGCAAATTTTAATTTTAAAAATAAAACAAAAAAAATCTGATGTGGTCAGCACATAACCGACCGCATTGTGCATTGTCTAGTTAAGTGAAAGTGTTACAGAATATTATAAAAATGCCTGTTAATTACCTCTTTCCAATTTTTAGGACATTAATAAGCTTATAGTTAACATACCTAGAAAAATGTAAATTTGGCTCTTAGTAGAGTTTCGCTTTGTGCCACCCGAATTCCCTGAAATGCTCGTCAGTTAGTTTCGGTAACAACCAGAACTCAAATATCAAATTTCAAGAAATTCTATCAATTAGTTCCGTAGATATAGTGAAAAATGTAAAATCGGCCCGCAGATCAGTTTTCGAGCCTTGATCTTTCCAAAAAATTTATATGTTCATTGTTTTAATACGAAGAACCTAAATATTAAATTTCAATGAAATCGGTCGATTATTTCTCTTTATATACGCAAAAATGTATATTTGGCCCGTAGTAAACGTCCAGTTGCTGACACCTGATTTCTTCCAAAAGTTAGGAGGTTTTGCGGCCGGTCGAGCGAAGCTTATATATGAAATTTCAAGCAAATCGGTTGGATAGTTTCTTTAAAATGATCAAAAATGTAAAATAGGCCCGCTAAAAAGTGCAGTTCCCGAGGCCTGATATATCCCAAAAGTTAATCGATCCGTGCCATGGTTGAAATAAACTTACATATAAAATTTCATAAAAATCGGTTCAGTAGAACTTGAGATACACGCATGCACACACAGACCGACAGACCGACAGACCGACAGGTTGCTAAAAATAGTTTATTTACACTTCCCTACTATGGAGAAGTGCATTCCCACCGAAAACTCGATATGCAAAATTTGTTGCCATCACATAACCTACCTATTGTATACACAATACGGTCGGTAATTATCAAAGCAACTTCAACAAGTTTTTTTCTTATTAGGAAAAATAAAAGGGAAATAATCATAATTACTTAGATGGCTTTTGAAAACATACTAAATATAATAATATTGCACGCCTTTTATTTTGATATTTGCAACAAAAATTTGCGAATTTTTCATTCAAAACAAATTTTCCTAAACAAACATACATACATACGAAAAAAAAATCTAAATAAAATTTAAATTGGAAAATTTTAATTAGGTAAATTCGCCAAACTCTATAAGCATATTTTCCTTTTATTACAAAACTTTACTGAAAACATCTTTATATTGAAGAAAATATTGGGTATTTTAAATAATCAGTGCTAATTTAGAATTAATACAAAATATCTTCTACAAAATTAATACAAATATCTTCTATTTTTTCCAAAGTAGCATGTTTGATAATAAAGTACATTCGAAAATCGTGGTATGTGCATGTACACAAATTCGTAAAGCATTGTTAAAAATTTTGTTTATATGCAACAAAAATATTTCAAGTTCGAAAGAAAACTAGCATAGAAATAAAAATTTCTTGTTATTGGTTGCATTTATGTGCAATATAACAAATCTGCAAAAATAAAATTTTTTAATATTAAAGATTTATAATTATGCAAAAAAAAATTTTTTAGGGTTTCAAGTAAAGGTTTCAGTTAAGAATCTAAAATGGATCAATTGCCTTAAATTTTTCATTATAATTTTTATTGTAATCAATTGTTCTTATAATATACGAAAATGAAATAAAAAATATTTAGCAAACCAAAAGGATCTACCTTTTCAATAGTTTTTTCAAACTAAGAAATAAATTGAAGGAAAACCACCGAATTGGAAATACTAAAGGAACAAGAATCATTGTTTCTATCTCCCTTGCACTCCTTAAAAAATCTTATCTTGAAAAAAAAACACAGTGAAGCTAAAAATTTCAGATAAGGTTTTTTCTTTGTTCTAAGCAATGTCAAACTGAAATTGACATTAAACGTTGTTTTTTTTTTCTGGTACTTCTCAAAGAAAAAAGGCCGTGCCAGTATAAAAAGTAGACAAAGAAAGTTTTTTGCTTTAAGTTTTAAAACAAGTGCATTTTGTAAATTAAAAATTATAAAATATTTAATAATAAATTTAAAAAAAAATATCATTTTATAAAAACTTACGAAAAAATGCACGCAAAAAAAACTTATTTTCACTTAAAAAGACAAATGGATGTTTTCCACCATAGTAGGTGTAGTACGAGAGGGGCCCACCTGGACACCACATAAAGCCCACGCATTAGACTAACAAAATGGCCCACCGGCGGCTAAATAAAACATGCCACAAGCCTCCCTGTCGTATCATGGGGTCTCTGAACCTTAAAAGTCGCGCGAGAAATTCCGCGAACATGTCTCTCAGGCCATCATAAAAGGAAACTCCAAGGACACGCCTTCTCTGACATCAAACCAGACAGGCACGAAGAATATGTTCCACATCCTCCACCCCCCTTTATCCTGATATCCACGACATGTATCCGTCGTGGCGAACCCAAGTCTCTTGGCCATTTTCCCCAAAAGGCAATCTCTGATCAACACCCCGACCAGTATGCTGAGATCAAACCTACCATACCAGATTATTCTGGTCACCCTATAGTGTGAACCTCCGTTCACAAGACCCCACTCCTCCTTTTAGCCTTCTTCTCTATGTTGCCAGGAAACGCCTTAAAATCCGTGTACAAGGTCAGAACCGCCGCCTGCCCCACCCCTAGCGAGACGATCCGCCATCTTACTTCCCCGTACCCTGCTATGGCCGGAAAGCCAGCAAACAGTTATTCTGCATATATCACAAAGAGCCTAAACGACTCCCTGCATCGACGCACCAAAGCCACCTTACTGCCCACAAAGATTGTCAGTTCGCACCCTCTCACCGGTTCAATTGCGGCCAATCCCGGCGCTCTAAGAACCACCAAAATCTCCGCCTGGAGGAACTCCCGCTTCCGTACTATTCATAGCCCTTGAACCATCCGTAAAAATGGATGACCTATACTGCCTGTTGAGCCCTCCCGTAATGTGAGGGAATGGCTGTTAAATTTTGAGCATAATGAAGTAGATAATGCGTTAACTAGTCTAATTTGATATTATAACAGTTATAATTGAGTGTATTTTATAGTCGTAATTCAAATCTTTTTGGTAAATTATAAAATTAAATATGTATAGTGTAAGTAAACTGTCAAAAATTTTAATTTTTCAAAGTAATTCTACTTTTGAGTATAATATGTAGTATGGTAGATTGTAAAAAATAATTGTGAAAATTAATTTTTTTTCTAATAGTTGTAGTAGTAAGCGATTGTAGATTTAAATAATAATATTGTTAGTTACATAATTTTTGGCATTAACACTATTTTGTTTTCAAATAATAATACCATATTTCTTATTCTCTTAGTTTAAGCAAATTTCGCAAAGATATAGAGAAAAATGTATAAATAAATAAATAAATAAATAAAAAAAAATAAAAAGAAATCAAAATATAATTAAGTTGGGTTAAAGCAGTAGTTTGTAATGTGGCACTTTTCTCTTTAACAAGTGAAAAAACTGCCTTTAACACAGTTTAGAGAGGCATTAACATAATGCATGAATTAAGGAATGATTACGTGAGTTAAGAGAAGTTATTATAATTTTTAATGGCATGGAATTCACATTTCTTTCTGAATTTATATAAATTTGGGAGAGCTTATATTTGTTTTAGAGATCTTATGTTTTCAGTACCAAAAATTCAAATTTTACAAATTTTGAGATGCAATAACTTGAGGGGAGGTGGAGGTAGAAAAAAGTTTTCTTCTAACAAAATGAACTAGCTATTCGTGTCTTAAATCTGCTAATTTTAAATTTCAGACTCCTAAAACCTGAGGTCTGGGA